TTTGTGGGGCGTGTAACTATTTTAAAGTCAACAATTAGGAAAATATGGAGATCCAAAATATCGCTTTCAATTGTTGTCGTATGACTTAAAATAGGCAATGCATTTTTGTTTGCTTCACTGACGAATTCAATTAATGAACTGATGTCACAGAAGACATCGAAGAGATTATCAAAAGTTACTAAAACACGTTTTTAATCCTTATTTTCAATAATCAGTCAGCAAAATAGGAAAAAAAACTGAGGAGTTATGTTTTGGAAAAATATTCCATATTAAATGTCAAGTCTGTATATCATCCCAAAGATGTTAATGACAGGTGTAAATAAAGGTTGTCCGAATGTCGTTTTTGAAATGAATTAGATTTAAAGAACGTAGAACATAGGTGAGTGCAGTCAAAAAAATGTCTGCAATTTCATATCATAGTTTTAGCTAAGGGTGTATTTCCAGAGATTTAGATCGATCCAGGGATTAAAATTTAGATCGACCTAACTCCCTGGGGGTTCACGCTAAATTGCAGTCAGACGAGCGAGCACCATAGTTAATTACCCCCTTACAGCTTTTAATAGGCGGGACAGACGCTGCCGGCCAAGCTGACAGTAATCTAGTGAGACTCCCCACAGGGATAGATCGATCTAAAAATCTATGGAAATGGGGTGTAACTGTCAACGTGCATTCGAGCGCGATCTATATTTTGCTAACAGGTACGTACATGGGTGTGGTAACCATGCGGGTGGGGTAACCAAATAGTTACTTAAATTTTTTTCACTTGAAAAAAACATGGGACCCCGGTTCACGAACGAAGCTACCGTAGTATTTGCCAACTTTAACCCTCAAGAGACCAAGCTATTTTACTGACTGAAATGACCAAGTGGGGTCATCTATGACCCCATTGTGCTCTGTACAGGGATCTTTATTATAAAAGGCTGTTGAGGGTTTATCACACCTATACTACTCCCAGGATCTAAGACAAGTATTTTATAATGATCTAATGTAATAAGTATTTGGTAATAATACTTTTATTGCGTGATATAACCAAGCACAGACTTTAAGAACAACATTACACCGGTATTTAGACAGTCCTTGCCAGTTTCCACTTGCAGAAATATTTCTCTTTTTATTTGCCACACTAAATGAAAAAAGTGCATTACAAAATTACTTTGAGTAAAAACATTTTGACTTATGTTGATATAGCATCCTTCAATAAGAATAATTAGCTGAGACTTGCCGTGTAGGGAATACCTAATGCTGGTAAGGAAGTCGTACTACTCAGAACACATTCAATTAACCTACATGTATGTTACTACCACATCTGTGTATAAAACAAAATCCACACAAACAATTTTTTAATATATGTATAATATGATATCGACAAAATTCTTTACATTTCCGAAATACCCGAAAATTGTAACCGTCAAAATGAGAGACCCAGTTATGAGAACAATTTCCAACAAAGCTACTGAGATTAGATTCAGCAATGCACTATTAGTAACACTTCAAGCACAATCTTCACAAACCACTTATTTGTGCCTATGTTTTAGGACACACTGGCTGGTTGCATGAAGCACATGCATGTGACATTTTCCTGTCAGTGTTGCATGGGCAAAACATTTGAATAAAATTTAAAAACTAATATTTAAAAACCAATTCTTCTCTTTGGGGTCATAAATGAAATATTAAATATTACGTCACACGATGAACTTGGAACTGTGTTTCAAGCATAATTAGTTGTTTTGAAAATACATTAAATGAATGCAACAGGAATAAAAAAGCTAAAACCTTTCATTTAAGGTACAATCTCTAACCTGCAGTCCTACCTTAACACAGGCCCGTAGCCAGGGGGGGTTCGGGGGGTTCGAAAGAACCGCCCCTTTTGTTGGGAAATGGTCCACTCTGGGTATAATTTGATCTAGGTACATGATGTTTTTATGGAAAAAGGTCCACTTTTTCAGAAAACGAACCCCCCTTTTGAAATTGCTGGCTACGGGCCTGTTAACACCTTATCAATCAGATTGCTAACGGGGTAATTGATAAAAAAAAGAGATGCACACGTAACACAATAACAAGTATAACATTAAAATATGTCTGCCACGTGGTTTAATGACTGTGCCCCTGAACAATATACTGCTGGGGGAGGGCGCTGGGTAACCAGCTGCCAGAAAAGGAAAAACTAGCTCCTTCGGCTGTCGTGTTTAAAAATCGGGATGCGTGTGTGTGTATGGGGGGGGGGGAGTTTATCCCTTATCCCCACCCCCTAACAATGATTGCCTTACCAAAGTAGGTAAATCGTTTTTTTTTTCGTTTTGTCCAGTTTAACTGGGGATAAAAGGGGATTATAGCTTTGTATGTTGGAGGAATATAGACGCTTTTTTTTTCATTTGCCTGTCGTAATTGTCCATATATGGAAACAGAATCAGACATGAACACTGCGGTGGGTGTGGTCGTGGGGGGGGGGGGGGGGGGGGGGGGGATATAAATAAAGGCCCCCCAGCAGGGAA